TCCCCCAACGAATTATACTTAGAAATCCGCACTCCTTTGCCACTTTCCCTTCTCCGTGGAAGCATGTGATCTCCGCCATGTGACAGTGATTGGGCCTGGGGGACCAGTTTCCAAAGCCATAACATCATCCAATCGTGTAAGCTCTGACACCATCCGATACTGGAGCTTACCTAGGGTGGACCTTCAGCAGGGAGGCAGTGAAGGAACATGGTAGGGAAAGTATACCTTGCTGGGGAGTAGGCAGTTAGCAGACACTGTCACTTTGCCTTGAATGTGCAAGGTGCCAGTGTCTCTTTAACTAATTTCAGTTTCTGGAATGTGTCCTTACTGTAAATGTGTTGAAATATCTAAATAAAAACAAATGAAACATCCCAAAAAGCACTGCACAAATGATGACCTTGAAATCTGCTTTAGTGATCAGGATGAAATACTGTTAATTGCTGTGCGTTACAACAAAGAGCTCCGATCCATTCAGCACTAAAGGGGTTTGTGAGAATTTCCATAGAGAGCATCTGTTTCAGGCTGGCTACAGAAGGAAGCTTGAGCGAAGAAGAGTGCTTGAAATAATTACAGAGCAATTCAAGGAGCAGACACCCCAAGTTAATTTTAAGTCAGCAGATAAAGACAGGCTTGGGGAAGGCGGCCTCATGTTTAGCTGGGAAGGTGAACGCTGTCAGAAGATGAATGCTATCGCATGACAGCCGCCGATGCCCGTGACTCAGAGTGTAAAGAAATAACATATGACAACACATACACTACCGCAGATATTTGTGTGCTTCAGACTGGCAAGTGGTAATTCAAGCAGCAGGCTATCAGCATGTGGCAGAATCTTCTAGCTTGAAGTGCTAAGTGCAAAGCATCACAGCCTCCTCGTCGGCTGGGGCCCATGTGTCTTGGAGCGCATCCAAAGCATTTTCATGTTCCTTTAAAAGCTATAGCCGCCGTTAAACTGTGTTTGTAGCTCAGGAAAGGCGATCCTCGACGTGTGAAATAGACGTCTATAATGATGAAGAGTGCACACTTGTAGCCCAAGTGAATAGCAAATCATCTTGTGGAAGATTTCAAGATTGTGAAAGCTGGAAAAACCTAATAACAAGCTTTTATATTTTTGGTCCTGAGTGTTAGAGAAGATGAAATAGTGTATGTGAAGGCAGGAGGAAGGTCAACTGTGGATTAAAAAACGCATATTGCTTTTAACGGCTCATTCAAAATATATGTGTGTAAAAAGAGAATTTAAAGGGCAACTTGAAGCAACAAGTCTTTCTGTGAATGTCTGCTGCTACCCAGGAAACATTGCAACACTAAAAATCCATTCAGTTTACCTTAAGATGTCTATACACCAAAAAAAACATTTTCGGAATGTTTTTTGGTTTTCTAATAGTTAAAAGACACTAAACTCAGGAGTTAAATCTTAAAAATGCATTCAAGTACATCAACTATTAACACAAATCTTATTTGTGTATTACTCGGCTGTAGATCATCAAATCATCTCTGAATTGACACTGTCCTTCCTTCTGGAGGGTGGTTACTTTTTTCCCCATGGTCCCTTTGTGTGTTGTAAAGTAGCCACCACTCCAAGCTCACTCCCACAATGGACTACAATCTCAATACAAATGAATAAACTAAACGTGAGATTGTAGTCCCTCACAGGAGTGAGCTTGGAGCAGTGACTACTTTACAACACACACAGGAACCATGGGGAACAAAAGTAGCCACCCTCCAGAAGGAAGGGCGGTGTCAGCACCAATTCAGAGATGATTTGAGGATCTACAGCTGAGTGATACACAAATAAAAATGCATTCAAGTACCCTAACTAGTAACACAAATGTATCTTAAGACTTAACGCCTGAGTTTAGTGTCACTTTAATGGGGTCAAATTGACAGTTGTTTTAACCACAGTGACAAAAAAAATTAAAGAAGCCGGATGGAACTTTTTATTAAAAGGAACATAATTTTAACAGCAAATGTGGTTTTCATTTGAGAAACTCCATTCATTTCAAAATCGATTGTAAAAAGTAAACTAAATTTTGAATGTCTAAAAGTCTCTGATGACATTATCGAGTGTTAGGGCAAGATTTTCCATAAAAAGTTTTTGATTTTTTATTGAAAAGTTTGTATGGCCAGCCTTCAGTCAGGTATACACGCTTCCATTTTGTTCGTTCAACCTGCTGGCTGAACAAGGAAAATAGAACAAATTCTTCCATCAACACTTACGAGCGTTGATCGAGGAATCTCCTGCTGCCGCCAGCCGAACAGAGCTGACAGCTAATAGACTGCTAGCTCTGTGTGGCTGACAATTGTCCGACATGCTCCTTCAATCAGCTGATTGAGGGATGACAGTTGGAAAATCTCTGTATCTATAGGCATGGTGGAGAAATTACTTTTCAAAGTTTGTTGACATCTTAGCTCTTATTACTTTCTGTTGCACCAGAATCTTGGCAGGCTGCTAGCTCTCTAGTGTAAACAGCCACCGGGTGTTTCTAAACTGTTACGAATACCTGACTTTTTCTTTGTTGTGATCATTGAGTAACTTCATATCAGGGCTTGCTCACACCAGACGCATGCTAAAATGGTCTGTTTAGCGTGCACTACTGTCCGCTGGGTGGCAGAAGTGTGTAGCAGTGCCTTGTGTTGTTATGCAAAGCACCGCTACCCAAAGGCACTGTTTAGTCTTTAAACTTTATTGGCAGTGTACAAAATGTACACACTATTCAAGGTCTCCGCATAGCAGCGCAGTGTGCTGCGCTGGGGTGTGTTGACCTCGGGTGCCATCCAGTGCACTGTAGAAAAAATGCAGCAGGTCTGCATTCTTCCACACCTTGCATTATTCCACAGCGTTGTGGTGTGAATGGGACACATAGCAAACCATTGTTTGCTATGTGATATCAAACCATTGTTTGCTATGTGCCCTTGTGGTGACTGGCACTGATCAGTTGCTGAAAAATGCCTGTCACCACCAATGGTGTGAACAAGCCCCCAAAGCAGCTAGAGAGGCCAGGAATGTTTTAAAGCTACTGTGCTGCTAATTATGAATATGTAAATCGTTTAATGTCTGGGCACAGGCGCACTTTAAAGCTGAACAGGGAGGTATTAAAAAAACAAACACAATTTAATCCACTTTTATATACAATGAAAATGAATGTATTTTTACATGCAGCTGGTATAAGTTGTACCGAAATATTTCTTGATATTAGCCTACTGATATCAGGGGCTGACTGGCAACTTTTAGCCCAGGGGGCAAGTACAACCCAGAGGCCCATGGTGCGGCAACTTGACCCCCCTCCCGCTTTGCCTCTTCCCCGCCCGTCTGCCACTTTTGCCATCCATGTAACAGTAGTGTGAATGTATTTATCGGTTTAGGAAATGTAAAGCACACTGGTAGTGGAGGGATGCCACGTCAGGGCTGTGCGCGTGCATGACTGCTGCGACCCTGGTAGTTCTGCCACTAACTCAGAAATACATTGTACAGCATTGCAGAATGGCATTGGCTTTAGAGAACTACAATTCCCAGCAATACATTACACAACAATGCAGAATACCATCAGCTATAGCGGACTATAAATCCCAGCAATAATGACTACCATCAGCTATAGAGAACTACAATTCCCAGCAATACCATTATACAGCAATGCAGAACAGCATCAGCTATAGAGGACTACAAATCCCAGCAATACATTGCACAGCGCAATGCAGAATAATATGAAGCTACATACTCTGTTGCTCTGGGTTCTCCACCTGATGTCTAAAGGGTCTCAGGTGGGCTGTGCGGGCTCTCACCAGGGGTCCAGAGAGTTTCACGGGTGCGTGTGTGTATAGCAGAGGTGGTTCCCTAATTAGGCTCTCAGGTGGCCAATGCGGACCGCCAGGTGGTCAGTGCGGGCTCTCTGCTCCAAAACAAAAGGCTCCAGTGATGGACTACTAGTTTGTATTGAGATTGTAGTCCATCACAGGAGCAAGCTTGGAGCGGTGGAAATAAGAAAAAAAAGGTGTGGTGTGCAATATAGTGAAATGGAAAGTGTAAAATTATACAGCAATCAATGCAGAATGGCACCGGCTATAGAGGACTACAAATCCCAGCAATAGTACATTATACAGCGCAATGTGGAATTCCACCAGCTAAAATGTACAATTGCTGGGATTTTTAGTCCTCTTTAGCTGGTGGTATTTTGCTGTATTGGGGACTACAAATCCCAGCAATAATACATTATACAGCACAATGCAGAATACCACCAGCTATAGAGGACTACAA